TAATTGATTTGTAATGACTAAATTCTCATCAATTCCCACTGCTAGCTACTGTAGACAAAGGACACCTTGTCTATAACAATGTAACACATGGAGTATATGACACACCTGGATGAAAACATACATATTTAACTTAAGAGGTCTTAAGCGCAAGCATAGGCTCCATCACTGTCAAGCGAAAGCAGAATGATTACTCAGCATTTTAGTCAGTTATTCAAGTCAAAGCACAGAAGAATTTCCTTAAATAGTTTCCATCATGTGTCCAGATGTGATGGCCATATCCAACATCAGGAAATAAATGATAGCTTGGATTTTGAATAAGGCCACCTGCTGGAAACAGAAAAAAAGTCTCTCAAAGTCCCACCCTTTGTTTTTGGAGTCCAGAGTTCTGGCACAGCAAAGAGCACCTCTGATTATACTATTATTAGGTCAACCATGTGCACTGAAAAATTAACTGTGAATTATGTAGACCTTTTTTGTGATGTAGTACATACACGGTTCACTTCGAAGTGTGCTGTTTGTTAGATTTGGTGCACGAAGAAGACACCATAGGTTTTTATGTGGAATAAAGAAAAATGACGGTTTCATGCAACTCATACTTTCATGAGTCATTGGGTGGTACTGAGTCAAACTCCTTGAAAAAAATGGAACGCACTGGAAAGCCAGTTAGGATTATACCATTTTCAGGAATAGGAAAACCAGTATGGAAACCAGGAAAACCAGTTAGTATGGAGATATTCCCCAGATTTCATTGGATTCTGACTTTAACTGTCAGGCTAACTGGCTAATTTTGGATCCTTGTTTTCTGAACTGAATTTCATATGCCTAAAATCTTACTCCCTTACCGTAGAGCCATTAATATAGCAAGAATGGCATGTATGGTGGACAATGTATACATTTTTATTAATCATAATGTACACTTTAATGAAATTTTTCCATATAAAGTTTATTTTTCAGGCTGACATTGTATTTGCCTATTTGGGGGCTGTTTTGAAAGCTTTCAGTAAACCTAACAAACACAGAAGGCATTTTAGAATTGCATTTAAGTAAAAATAAAAAGAATATAACTACTTTTTTACAAGACTTGGAAAAAAAAAAGCCTATGCCTTTGTAATGGTTATATGGTAATGCCCAATGTGAGGAAGCTTTAAAAAGGTAAAAATCCTCAGTGGGATTTACTATCTTTGAACTTCTACATTACTGTTATTACTATTAATACTTTCCTCGGAAACAGTATGAGTGACGTAAGGGCAGCACTCCTCTTCCCTTTTATTTGCTTATGCTCCATTGGAAACAAGTGTGTTGGTGAAAGCAACACATTCCCCCAAATAAGCCAATGAACAGTTTGTTCCTAATGCTAAAGCCTTCACAGGAATGGAAAGCAAGCAGTTTGAATACTTCACTTATGTGAAAGGGAGTCTCATGCTTTCATTTGTGAATAAAATAAACAGTGAATGTGTGTTTGGTGTTTTACAGGGCCTTTCATAATTTCCATATACTGTAAGAACCTACCAAAGTCACACCCAAAACATTGTCTGGTTGCCGAAGAAAGTGCCCCCTTGTTTGGGTTTTTGTTTGATGTGATTAAAGGTTAAGTGAGTCCCACCTCTACCTGCGGGTAGTTAATGACAGAAACAATGAGCCGCACTTTCACAAAGTCACCTTGGTGGTGTGCATCAAAGTATCGCCTTACTTCAGACAATTGTTCAAAGCTGTAAGCAGGACATTAGCATCAGCCAACAATATAATTAGCTGTCCTTTTCACACTGACACTATTGAATGCTTTGATTGTGAGAGGTCTGTGTTCAGTTACTGCTCACTCACAAGGGAATATATGTAAGACATGTTTTCTGTGATGAAGGAATATTTGGATTCAACCGACCCACATCTCACTTTGATCTTAACTTATAACATACATGAATGAATTTAATAAGAACCCAGAATTTTGTCAGCAGTTTCATTCATCATTTGGTATTTGGGACAGTTGCTGCTTATCCATCTTCACTTCCTCTCTGAACATATAACAACTTGTTACTCACACAATATTATAGCAGTGGGGTTGCCTAGCAGCACCATAACAGTGCAGAGTTTGCAGGAAATTTTTGGTGGTGTGAGTAATGACCTTCAGACAACAGAACATGGATGCACTGCTCCACTGTTATAAATGCTTCCATATGGTGCATTTTCAAATCCCTTTTTTGGATGCAGTTTGTGGAAGTGTGACTGCACACAGAGCTCGGTGGAATAAAAGGTTATCTTGTCTTATAATCAACTGTTGTTGTACCTCCACTTACTAGTGTTTTTTCCCCCACAGATATCAGGGAATTAAGTCAGATGCAGCATACTGACCTCCAGGAGCAAAGTCTGTTTTAACTCCCTGGCAGAAATATGCGACAGCAATCCTCCCTCCATCTGGTCTGAACATTTTAAGAGTTCAGCTAGAAGAGTGATGATGAGTCCTTTCTTTTTAACATCCACTTTAGTCCACTGCCTTATAATGGATTCCAGACTACTATCCCATTATAAAAACAGATTGCAGTGATTTGTGAGTAATTAATGACTATATTTAGGTGAAAACAGTTCAAAGACATGTTAAAATATAATGTGAACAATGCATTTTAAGAAAACTGCAACAGGAACATGCTTCTCATTGTGTTTCAATAACCTCTCTTTTAAATACACACTTTGGTTTTGTCATTGTTTCTGTCATTAATACACACTTTGGCAGCATGGTGGCACGGTGGTTAGCACTGTTGCCGCACAGCAAGAAGGTCCTGAGTTCAATTCCACCATCAGGCCGGGGTCTTTCTGTGTGGAGTTTGCATGTTCTCCCCGTGTTTGCGTGGGTTCTCTCTGGGTACTCCGGCTTCCTCCCACCGTCCAAAGACATGCAGCTTGTGGGGTTATAGGTTAATTGATTAATCCAAATTGCCACTAGGTGTGAATGTGCAAGTGAATGAGAGTGCGAATGGTTGTCTGTCCCTGTGTGTTGGCCCTGCGACAGACTGGCGACCTGTCCAGGGTGTACCCTGCCTCTCGCCCTATGACAGCTGGGATAGGCTCCAGCGCCCCCCGCGACCCTGAAAAGGATAAGCGGAAGCGAATGGATGGATGGACTTTGGTAAGTGAGAAGGCCAATGACTGGAGGAAAGCAGAATATTCTACAGTTCTTGCTTGATATGGGGTTTCAGCTCTTCACAAGTTCATTGCCTTCTTTGTCATAAATTTAGCTTAACAGCAACATTGCACAGAGTCCTAATATTCACTGTCTATTAACTCAAATTTCTACCAACAACTTGAAAATGCTAACTGTTGCAGCATAGCACAGCTTAAGAGTGGTCCACCATTTGCATCCAAATGGTTGGGCACATTTTGTATGTAACATCTGCACGTTCTAAGATTTTTTGCATCATTTTATGATATAAATGATCCATGAAAAGATCAGGGTTTGGAATTCAAATATTTCATCCAACTCTAGCGACTCCAGGATCATGCTATCTACAGCAGTAACAAGTAATAGGTTTATTTGGTAAATGTGCTGTTAAACATGCATTTTAGCACAGAAAAGACACAAATGAGAGACATTCATGTTATTCATATGTTTTGAGCTTTATTCTCTTCTTCTTCTCCTCAAGAAAAATATATCTCTTCAGCTGCTAAATGGCTAAATGCCCCAGTGTGTTTGCCAGCTAGTTGCTAACTGTGTCCGCTTGAGATACACAGCATTTATTTTAAGGAATTTGTTGCAAAGGTTTTCTATTGTGAATTAGCAGGAACACAGTTGACGGCTAGAAAAATATTAAGTTAGCTAAAATGCTAACATGATCATGATCAACTGAGAAATCTCTAACTAGACCTCCTGTTTACGCCTTGAGTAAAAATGTTCCGTACTTCCTCTCAAGGCTTACTAACTTGTGGCAGTTTAGTGGAAAAGTCCTTTATATGTCTCTTCGTCCTGTATATGTTAGGTACTAACATGATACAAGAAGAAGCAAACAGGCTGCTTGCTGATAAAATACCAGTGTACTTTGTAGCTGGACAGGCACGGCACAATGATGTTTTAAAAGAATTTCAAAAAAATACATATGGCATGGCTCTGTATGTGCTAATTTAGCTTTCTAACTACTTGTGCCTGCACAAGTTTTTGTTATAAGGTATGTTTCTATACTTTTCCACTGATTCTGGAGAAACCAGCTTCATGCATCTGCTGTAACTTGCATGCTAAAAAAAAAAAAGATGAAGGAGAGAAAAATGCAAACAGGCTACATGCACATCCAGCAGAAACAAGTACCAACATTGTTTATGTGGATGTTCATTTTTTAGCTCCTTCTCTCAGTTTTCCAGCGTGAAATACATCCTGTGACACAGTGGTTACACAAATGAACTCATAAGCAGTGTCATTATGCGTGGCTTCATGGCTGATTTTAGTTTGTTGCTGCAGAGCAATAAAATGTATTAGCAGGACTCAAATTTTTAGTGTGCGCCAGTGCACTGTCCTGACTGTGCTTTATGTTTACTGGTGAGCTAGTGAAACTTAATGGCCAGCGCACACAGTGCATTTCATCAGCTGTCTAGACAGTAGAAAATGACATAGCTTCTAATAAGTCATTGACAATACTAGATTGATTGGTGGAAGCTAGTTAAACTGCATTGTGCTTTTACTTGATTCACTTGAGTCCAACATCAAAAGGAGGATGCATTGACAATTCGAAATCTCAAAATCAAATGAACACCAAGTTAGCTGACATGGCAAAGGCTTGAAAAAAGGGGCTTTGCAGAGATAGAGGAAGAAATGACAATATGTAGGAAAAGGTAAAGAGAAAAGCCCACTCCAGATGTGTGACATCATCCTCCCCGCTGCTTCCATCCAGACCAAACAGGGCCATGTGTCTGGTTTTCATTTACTTCTTTTCTCCCCCTCTTCTCTTCTCTCCTCTCCCTCCTTTTTTTCTTCTTTTTTTAGAGAAAGTGGGCGGAGGAAGAGAGATGGCAGAACTCCAGGAGTTTAGAAGTTTGTCCCATCTCAGCCTTGAACTCAGCACCACAGCTCCTCTGGTTTGAGACCGGGAGGGTGCCTGTTTCTTTCTTTCTCAACCATTTCCCCTCTTCATTCACGACCTCTCTCTGTCTCTCTCTCTGCATCTCTTATCAGTGGCCTTATTACTGCTTTGCTCAGCTACCTTCCTTCGGGGGGTGCTGGAAAAGCCAGCGAAGGGAATTTACCAGGAGGATAATGCCCAGTAGTCTAGTTCTCAGTCGTTTTACATAACTGATATCATTTTTCCTCAAAAACGAATCCAGTGGAGTACAGCTACTTCAGCTCAGGGTAAGTTTTGAATGTGCCGGTGGTGTTGTTGCAGAAAAAGTTTGCATGCTCGCTCAATTTCACTTTTACTTTAAGTTTGACCTCAGTTGCACTTTACATGATTATATATAGTGCATTGACCATAGCATAGTTTCAAGTCAGAACATGTAAAGTCATGATGGGTGAGATAATAGGAGGTTTGTGCAAGACTTTCTGGCATCTACCTCATAAATATCAAACAGCATGCTTTTAGCACTAACACTGAAACCTATACTTTAGTGGTGAGAGTGCTGTGAGGGCAAGAGGTGAGCCGCAGTTAGGGTGAAGGAGGAGACCTCAGCAATGTAGTGAATGATACATGTGAGTGGAGAGAGAAGCATGTTTGCCCCTTCTGTTAAAACTTTGTCTTCTGTGTGACTTTTTTGTCTTTGCTTTATAAATGTCAAATAAATATGTGGTGTAAAATCCCAGAGATGCTACATAAGGTCTTGAAAAATAAGGCATTACTTTGCACCATATGATATACAATTATCCTTTAAGCAAGTAAAACCACAAGCACCATGCTTTGCGATTTCACTAAATAACTAATATCAAGATGTGAGGACTACTGTTTTTGTCTTTGAGGATAGAACAGGATAATTTGTTCCATTAGATCGAATGGGGATTCTTATAGTAACCAAATTTTAAAGTCTCCCCACCCACATGAGAGCTCTAATGAAGAATAGTCGAATGGCTAGATGTTTCCGCTGCAGCCCAATACCACACCCTCCCTGAAACCAGTGCACAAGTGGAAAAGTGTGAACTAAGTGTTCCATGCTTCTGGCCAGATGCACCAGGAGAGCCAAAAGAGGGCTAGTCTATTGGTGGGTGGATGAGAGGTGGTGCTGGTGGTGGTAGAAGGGGGAGCTGCAGGGTTTAGTTGACCAGGTGTGAGTCATTAATCTTCCATTTCTCCTGTACGACTGTCCAAGCGGAGATGGAGGAGTTCAGCAGTGTTTCAGTGTATCCATGTGGGATTTGATGAATTAACTTGTCATATTCTTCTGAATCCAAACGTAATGAGAATGCACTGGAAAAATGATCATGAGTAATTCTCATGAGCTACTGTTCCACGTACTTGTGTGTTTTGCGTGTAAACCCGTTGCTGTGATACAGAGAGGAAGAGCTTGGTCGCGATTCAAATATGCTAGAGGAAACTTGGTGTGCGCTCCAGATTTGGTTTTATGTGTTTGAATTTTTTTTCGACGTGATTTACTACCAGCATTACGACAGTGCTGCAGCTCCCTTTGTAAGCTGGTATCAAAACCTTTATTGGCAGTGGTGCATCGGGACGATTCTTAACAAAAGGGATTTTTAGATATACAGAATAAATCACGATTAATGTGTTTTATAGCTGCTCTGCTCTCTCCAGCTTTTGTCTCTTTTTTTCCGTGATGCAGTGCAGATGTTTGGAAAGTTGGAAGAGTTTTCAGAATGCTCTAGTCTCAGGGATTTAGTACCCCAATCTTCTCTTTTTAAGAAGGCAACCATGAATAATTGTAAGAAATCTGAAGCATATTCTGGTTGGTGAAAGCACGTTTGAGTGGCTGCAAGCGTGCAGACAGATTAATTATAGTGCAATCACTTGCACAGGTCAGCTTAAAGGTATATCAGAAGGAAATCAGGCTTTAAAACAGACCTTTTCCTTGGCTACAAGTTGATCCAGCGTGTGCATCTCTCTCGTCTTTACCAATGCTACAGGAGTGTCAGGTTTAATATGTGAACAGGCTCAGATCGAGCATACATCTGCCAGGTGTCAGACGGTCTAACACACACCAGCTGTGTAGAACTGCCTGTTCAGCCAGCCTCCCCCTCCCGCCTTTTTAACTTCATCATTGATCTTCCTCTCATCTGCTCCACACATGTCACATTGCATCCTTACAGCTGAGGGGTGGCGTGCGGTTGGATGTGCAGGTCCTCACAGATGCAGGATTGACTTTTACATGCTGGAGCACAAAGTCACAAGTGATATTTGTTCACCAGCGAGTGGCGGTGTAGCACCACCTCACGATCAGAACACTTGTAAGAATCTCATGCCTTGTGATTTCACTTATCTGATATAAAAGATACATCTTGTGCATAGAGAGCAGGCCTTAAAAACGGATTTGTGGGGATTGGCAGTGGCATTAAATGTAACAATAAAAGAAAGATATAAAAGTGTAGATGCTGGTTCAGCCTTTATTATGACTCATTAAAGTGTGGATTTCTCATTAAAGTTTCCTGTTAGGTGGATTTTATCCTCTATTTGCTTATTTAAACTAACAGTTAGAATGTTCCCCCTCTTCTCCAGCAGTGCACGTGTAGATTTATAGTTAATGACTCAATTATATTAAAGTAAATTAATGGAAACCATTAGCTAGTATGATGGAGCAAATATAACAACATCTTGTTTATACAGTGAGATGAAAGATCATGTGTGGCTCCCAGTAGTTGAGGTGATGTAAGAAGACATGCTACTGCCATTGACACTGGCTCACTTTTATTTTAAAGTTAGGATAGTATTGTATTTCAAAGTAAAAGACTTAATGTCCCAAATATACCTGTAAGGGCTAAATGCCAACTGTGTTATATAAATGCAGCTCTTTCATCAACATTAATTTTAATAGTTTAATTTGAACACAGGGCCTTAAATTTGTATACTTCAGGCCAGGTTCACTGTTTAACACACGGGTTTTTAAAATCTGTAATCGTTGAGTGTTTAGTGCTTGGCTGGAGCAAAAACAAGCCATCATATGGTGAAAACCTATAGGTTAATATGATCCACATTGAGAATGTGTGTGTGGTGTACAAAAAATTAAACAGCATTAACTATACTTAAAGTGAGTAAAATAAAAGTGCTCATTATGTAGAAACATACAAATTACATTACAGAGTCACAGTTTTTATGATTTTAATGACATAGTTATTAAGTTAGTTATTTAGTTACTTTGTAGTTCTAACATATGACACCATAATACATTAGATTTATAATTCTAAATCTAAAATAATAAATTTGGCAGACACATGACCACTGACCATTTACATTAACTTGTCTGCCACTTAATCATTCATGTCAACATGATTGCCAGGTTGTCCAGATGAAGTGAATAACGCCTCTGTAACAGAGGCCTAAATACTGGTGGAAACAGTTTGTCCCAAATGGTTGTGAGTGGTGCTTGGAGTGTGATGGCATTTGCAGGGATAATGAAAGTCTCAGTAATGTAAGTCTACACTTGTCACTAGGGAAAAAGGTGTATTCCCTAACAGATTGGCAAAAACCTGCTTGGTCACTAGCTTATTTCACAGGTGGTAGTTTGAATAGCAGTGACAAACCTGTCTACAAAAACTGCCCGGGTATTTTCCGAGCTGCTGTAAAACTGAAAAGTGGAACACAAAGTGAAAATGGAGAATGTTCATCTTCAATGTAAAGAGTTGTGCCTCAGCGCTGTCAACATGTTTCAAAAGCCACAGCTTTTACTTTTAAGGCAAACCTTTTCCATTTCCAGTATGTGTCACACTTTTTCAAGTTTTACTACTGCTGGGCTCATAGTTGGAACTACAGGCAACTTTGGCAATCTGCTAGCAACCAATAATCACACAGGAGGTTTTTGGTACAGCACCTTCTTTCCAACTGATTTGAGTGAAATCCCAGTGTAAGCCAGGCTCTTCCAGGAACCACTGCCAACCAGGGGAGTACATGTTCCCCTAGCAGCAAATGGTTGCATCACATCAACTATGGCAGACAGCTATTGAGTAATGTGTACATGACATCAAGTGATGAACCTCACTATAGTACAAAGTACACATTTACATTGAAAATATGTTGGAATGTAAGTACAAAGCATTACTTGATAAAATACTTGTACTTTAAAACTTTCCATAATTTACTTAAGTTACCATACATAGTTATATTTCATTGTTGGTTTTATCCACACTCTCATCTAATGACATTGGTGGGTGGGGCACTATTATGAAGGAGTGGGTGCCACCCGATGTCCCCCCAATATATATGTGTGTGTGTGTGTGTGTGTGTGTGTGTGAGGACCAGCTGCGATTGTATTTACAGAGGGTTCGCAGGCACATTGCAGCACATATCTTCTGTAAATGTAAATCGACTGTATACACTGTGAAGTGGAGTGTTTCTGCTTGTGTAACTTAAAGCATGTGTTTTCAGTCTGACACTTCATGGTCGTGACTTGATCACAGACAAAGTGTTGATGTTGCATATTCACTGAAGTACACATACCGAGGTACACTAGATGATATAGGTAGTTGAATGACCTAAAATATCATAAACTTGCTAAAGTTAAAAATGTAAAAAGGCTAAACATCGGCGCCACCCAGTGGAAGCTGTGAAAAAAAGATATGTAATGGGCTACAAGCTACACAAAGATCAAAACAGCTATTGCAGTTACTGGCTCATTTCTATTCAAACACAACTTTAATGGTATTTTTAAAGATTCTATTCACATTAAACCCACAGAGAGATACTCTTCCAGTGTGTACTTCACAGTAGATTAAATGACAAAGAATAATGTGTGCTGATTTCAGTGGCTCACTGATGAGCCTTTTTGCACCTTTCCCTGTTTGTTCTTTGTGGCTTGGACGTTCCATTAGCGCTCTGTTGTTTGCTATCAAAACCTGGACCTGATGGTAGCATGCCAGAAACAAACTGTTCAGCTTGTTTTTAGAGATGAAGTGGGAAAAAATTGCAGCTTTAAGTTGCTAATTTTCTTCATGAATGCTCTGTCCCCCGTGCTGCCATTGTTTTGGTTGCTTCTATCAGTGAAAACAAGATTCTCCTGCCCTGCTATGTTTTCCTCTGCGGTGATGAGGGGAATCCATAGTGTTCACACACTGGACGAGCCTGGCTGAACTCTTCAGAGCAGTGGTTTTTGTGTGACCCCAAATCACATGGGTGAACACAAACATCTGCCGCAGTGTCCAAGGCAGCTTAGATTTCCTTGAAATGAATGCTCTTACTGGTTTAAGCCCAATATGGAGAGTAACAGCATCTGGGGACTACGGGGATATTTTACACTTCCCTTATGTGGTTGATCTATATACTGTATATGTTTGTTTCATAAAGCAAACACTAATGCTGAAAATTTAAGGAATAACTCCAAACGTGGACTTTATGGGCACTATACACTGACCCTATAAATGTGATTGATATTATTTGTGTGACACAGCTCTGCAGCTGTTTTCAGTAGTTTTATTTCCTTCACCAGCATTCATCTGCAGGCCAACTTTTGAAAAGTTATGTTTTGTTTGCATTTGAAAGGTCATACTGGCTCACTTGTCTAAGATGGGAATACAAATACAGAGTTGTATGGTCATCTGCAAAACATGGCCTGCACAAACAGAGTGCACAGCAAAGTGTAAACACCATGACTCAGTGCCTGCAATTCTGCATAGAGTACAATGTGTTTAGACTTCATTATAGATTAAATCTACTGTAGCAGACATAGTACTTTTTTGGCTTTTTCTTCCAAGTCTAACACTAGTGCCTTGATGTAATTTAATGTTGTTTTTAAACACCTTGCCAGAAAATTCTTCTTTTGTGTTTTCATTTTCAATATCTACTAATTTTGGACCAAATAGTTGCTGCATAATCCACTTAAACTTACTAACATGCTTTTACCTGGCATTCAATTGACCACATGACATTTTTAAGATCAGATTTAAGGGCTCATGCATGGCATGGAAATCTAGAGGAGTTTCCATAACTTCAACAAGGCAGCTATATGCTGGCTCGCACAATAAAAATAAGCTAACAATAAAATATGGCATTAGCCAAGTTCCAGCTGACTAAAACAAACAAAAAAGAACAAGAAAAATGTAAAATACTGTAGAAAATGGCCCTGATATTGAGGGTGCTCATTCAAAATTAGATTTTTTGACAAAGACCACAGGATCAAGATCAAACAATCCCTGGAGAAATTTGATATATATTACTTTATTGATATATATTACTTTATTGATATATATTACTTTATTATAAAAGGTGGATTTGAAGCAGGCCGGTACCACAGCGTGGTACCGGCCTGCTTCAAATCCACCTCCATCGTCCTGATACCCAAAAACTCCAACCCATCTTACCTCAATGACTACCGCCCAGTAGCACTCACCCCCATCATCACTAAGTGCTTAGAGCGACTGGTCCTAGCACACTTCAAATCCTGTCTCCCCCCCACCCTGGACCCCCACCAATTCGCATACCGCCGGAACAGGAGCACAGAGGATGCAGTCTCCATCGCAATGCACTCTGTCCTCTCACACCTGGACAACAACAACACCTACGCCAGAATGCTGTTTATAGACTTCAGTTCAGCATTCAATACAATCCACCCCTCACAACTCATCAGGAAACTGACAGACCTGGGTATCAGTTCCCTCATCTGCAAATGGTTACTGGACTTCCTGACCAACCGCCCCCAACATGTCCGGCTGGATAACCGCTGCTCATCTACCATCACAATGAACACCGGTGTACCACAAGGCTGTGTGATGAGCCCTTTCCTCTACTCCCTCTTCACCCACGACTGCAGACCTGCTGATGGTTCCAACACCATCATTAAGTTTGCAGATGACACCACGGTGATTGGCCTCATCAGTGACAACGATGAGGCCGCCTACAGGGAGGAGGTGGATCGTCTGGCTGAGTGGTGCGACAGAAACAACCTGCTGCTTAACACCGAGAAGACCAAGGAGCTCATCGTGGACTACAGGAGGAATGCTGACCCACATCCACCCATCCACATTAAGGGGACGGCTGTGGAGCGTGTGAGCAGCTTCAAGTTCCTGGGAGTCCACATCTCCGAGGATCTCACCTGGATGACCAACTGCTCCAAGCTGGTCAAGAAGGCTCACCAGCGCCTCTTCTTCTTGAGGACTCTGAGGAAGAACCACCTGTCCTCAGACATCCTGGTGAACTTCTATCGCTGCACCATCGAGAGCATCCTGACCAACTGTATAACAGTCTGGTACGGGAACTGCTCTGCCTCGGACCGGAAGGCGTTGCAGAGGGTCGTGAAAACTGCCCAGCGCATCGCCGGAGCACCACTTCCTGCCATAAAAGACATCTACAGGAAGCGGTGTCTGAAAAGGGCTGGGAAAATCATCAAAGACCCCAGTCACCCATCACATGGACTCTTCACCCTCCTGCCCTCTGGGAGGCGCCACAGGAGCCTCCGGACTAAGACCACCAGGTACCGGAACAGCTTCTTCCCCACAGCTGTCAGACTCCTGAACTCTGCCTCCTGACATCTGACCCACGTTAACTCATGGACTGAACATACACACACCCACAATGGACAACTGTACCCTCAAACACAATAATAACACGGACTGAACCACCACTCACAACCACCAGCACTTTATATAGCCTCTGTAGAATTATCCACATATCTCACTTATCTTAACTGCACTACTGTATAGCTCTGTAAATAATCATTCTGTACATTCGATAATCTTTAATCCTACAACTGTTTACAACTTGCATAGTTTCCATTTCTGTATAGCTGTATATCCCAGATTCTGTAAAGTTATTTATTTCATTTCATATTCTGTATAGTTTTTCATATTTATATCCTGTTCATAGCCTGTACATAGCTTGTACTCACTACAGCCTGTACATACTTATAGTTATAGAATATTCACAACATACTTCATACCGTGTACATTATAACATACCATAATAGACCCATTTCTGTAATATACTCACATATCTATATTATTGCTAATATATATTGTAATATATCTATATCACTAAAGCACTTCTGGATGGATGCAAACTGCATTTCGTTGCCCTGTACCTGTGCATGTGCAATGACAATAAAGTTGAATTCTATTCTATTCTATATCTGCATTCTCCACCAGAGGTCAATTGTCTGTTTATTTAGCTTGCGTTTTGTGCACTGGAAAATACAAACTTTGTTGACATGAAAAAGACCTCCCCTTTTTATAAACTAAAGACATCTACCATAAACCCTTTATGATCCAAAATGTGACTTTTCTCACACCTAACCACCGAGTGCTGAGCTTTTAGCGCTTTTCCTAACAGGCTCTGATGCTATTAAAAAGACTGTTCTGGGTTTGGTTTAATATCCATCATTACCTTAATGAAGAAGAATTTATTGGTCAAAGGCCATGTGTGCCATTTCATTCGTAAGTATTAACCTTTTTGTTTTTGCATTCACTTCCTTGAGTTGAAATGCTTCTTGAGTGGTGAGTCATGCAGATGTTACAAGCATATGTTTATTTCCGCTCTGTCAGCTTCTTCTTAGATACGATTTTTGCACTTTGCTTTTATGCTCTTGGATCTTGAAAAGCTGTACAGACTTCTCTGTTCATGAAGGGCTTTGAATGAGTTGTGGGCTGGGATTTATGGGTTATGATGGTTATGGGAATGAATCATGTCAAAGACAAGTCCTCCACTGTGTGTGTGTGTGTGTGTGTGTGTGTGTGTGTATGTGTGTTTTGCCTGTACCTGTAGATCTGTCTTTTCAGGCTCTTGATGGGTTGAGACCTTTCTTTGCGCTTAGGTCTCATAAGGTCCTAAGTGAACCATGTGTGACCTCTCTTTCATTTCCTGTGATGTTACCGCTCATCATAATGAAGGAAAATCTAACTAAGTAGAAAAAAAAGCACATCCTCTGTGAAACCAGACTTTCCAGTCTAATACCGCTTTTAAGAGCACATTATTTTTGTGAGCTGGAAAACTGAGTCCCTGCCAGGCAGAGTTTATTACTAAGGCACACTGGATGGTAATTTTCACAGGTGGTTTTGATCATCATCCCTCTCCACTCCGGCACATGCTGTAGCTCCTTCACTTACTGTGGAAATAGGTTGTCATGAATGTACATCAGTACACGCAAAAATGTACGCACAGTGCAATGAAAATAACTCATCGCAGAGTTATTCCCTTGGAAAGATAGCTTTGGAATGGGGAAATTAAAGAGGCAACATGACCACATTTTAGGCTACATTCAGCTAGTACAATGGGTGCATCTCCCACACACAGCATTCCACACACCAAAATTGGAACACAGATATTTTGAACCAGCTATTAGTGCAATTAATTGAACACTAAAGCATATTATTTGTCAACATTCTAGAAAAGCACCACCAGAGGTCCAGTTCAGGTACATGAATTTGCTGAGTTGAAGCCTAGCTAACAGTCACTGCCTAGAGTCACCTGTGCCCACTGACCATGTGTCAAAACCTCTTTTATGGTTATGGTTAATAAACTTTATATTCATGCTTTATAGCTCATATTTCGCTAATTCTGGTTTCACAGGTGCCTTCTTAGTTTCTTCTGAAGATGAGGAGTCATCATTTGCTACCGCTACATGCTCTTCTGGTCGTCCTGCTTGCAGGACTTCTTCCTAAACTCGATGCCCAGGAAGATGAAGGTAAGTTTAACTAATTTAATCTCATTGCAGTCAGCAGCAGCACTCATTTTACAGATGATAGAACCGGGTCTCAATAAGCAAGTGTTTAAATATCAAATGCAAGCAAAGGGATTATAAAACTGTATTTGCATTTCTGACTTTTACATGTATTATGCTTTCAAGACTGAATGCAAACAGTTAACCTCAAAATGGGACATAAAACTTAGAATATAAAACCTCAAGAGATACTATAGTAGAGTAAGTCTGATACATTTGACACATTAAACATACATAAACAGACTGATGCTATCAAACTGAAGTACATTTATATTGTGCACTTTGTTAGCATCTTTTCACTGGTCTTTACTTTTGTCCTCCCAACACTCCCTTTGGAAGATTGTGCACAAGGTTTGGCAGCTGATATGTACTTTCTAGTGGATTCATCATGGAGTATGGGTCAAGAGAACTTTGAGCATGTCAGACACTTTCTGTACACCTTGATACAATCTCTGCACCAGGTCGGAGGAGAAAGGTTTAAATTTGCCCTTGTACAGTACAATAGCAGGCCTCACACTGAGTTCCAGCTCAACAGCTACAAAACTGCACAGGGAGTCCTGGCACACATCAAGGCTATGTCTTACCGTGGTGGGGGCACGCGGACTGGCTTGGGTTTGGATTTTCTGATACATACACATTTGACTGCTGCTTCGGGCAGCCGTGCTGCTGACGGAGTCGCCCAGGTGGTGGTGGTGCTAACAGACGGCCGCTCGCAGGATGATGTTGCCGAGCCAGCTCAAGTGCTGCGGATGGCAGGCGTGGAGATGTTTGCAGTTGGAGTTCAGGATGCAGTGGACTGGGAGCTCAGGGAGATGGCTAGCCAACCTCAAAGCACTCACGTTTTCAGTGTAGACACTTTCCCAGCCTTACAGAGTATAATTCAAGATTTAGTTGTGGGACTTTGTGATGCAGTGACCCAGTCAGGGGGGTTTCCTGTGGCAAATGAGGCCCCTGTGGCTGGAGGAGGGACAGGTAATGAAATGGGACCAGCGTCACTACCATACTAATGTCTACATGTGCAGAAAGAAGCTGCTGCACATGCGGCTGTGACTGGACCTTTTTATAATTAACATAACGATTTTTTTAACCACAGTAACCTTCCACTGTTCACCTGCAACATTAACACCACTTTTTTGATTTGTCTTTCAACATGTAATATACCTCTAATGCTTCAAAGATCACAGTACGATTTGCATGTGTTCACTTTACTGCATTAGGTGTTGTACCTGGTACTTTTGCAAAAGGTAGGTCTCTGATGGAGGCTGAAATGGCTTCTGTTATAATTCAACACGCCATTTTCAGAAGATCAGATCTTCCCCAGTGTCCTCTTCTAAAACCTTTGGAAGATAACAAGGTCTCTGGGACACTTTAAAAGCTTTTAAAGCCCCCGAAAATCAAACTGTGAGCTTTTAACAATAGCTAACCATGCACCACTGCTTATGTGTCCTGCACATGTGTGTTTGTCTTTTTTCAATCACAATGTCTATCTGTGTAAAATATGTGCAATATTCTGTTTTTGAAACAGTGATGAACCTGTCTGGAGACATCCTTGACCTGTAGAAGCACTTTGAGAATGTTTTTATCTTTAAATAGCCTAATCTATTTGCTGTCATAATTTAATGACATAAGAAAGGCGAACGGTAATGAAGAATGGTAATTTAAGATACTCAAATATCCAAAGGGTACATGTTCATTTCAAATGAAGCATTGCCATTATATGTGGTTTTGCTCTTTTTAAACAAAATCATACGTCTCAATGACTGCAAATATGCAGGCACCAAGGATGGTTCACAGGGTCATGACTGGTCACGTCATCTGAGGTCTGTAACAAGAGTCTGCATGGAGTGGTTGAACTCAGCGGAGCTCATACAAATGGGCATATTACATTATTTTTTAAATATTAAATATCATAAAAGATTATATCTATTTATATATTTAATCATTTGTTTTCCTCTAGAATGGAAATTCTTAATGCATTATGCCCATCTGCAGATTTTCTTTTAGTTCTTTATGTTCCTAGATGCTCCAGATTTTAAATAGCAGATCATGTTCTGTCACAATTTATTCCCATAGAAAACTGTGAGATACATCCAACTCTAAGACCTAACATTGTCTCAAAACATATAGAAAAATGTATTTTTGTTCAGAAGACATGTAGATAAGAAAAAGTTTAAACACTGTGACTTTTCTGTACATAAATTCTAGTGTTACTGTAATTAGAATTGAATTCAAGTAAAAAAAAAAAATCTATGGAGCAAAGTAATCGACAAATTACAGGACTTTAGGAAATCTCCTTGGTTCAGCCAACATGCAGTATGATGTTTTGCAGTGTTGTTGATTTATTCACTGAATGACACAGCTAGCACGAGTTCTTTGATTTATGTCTCTGTCTCAGATTCACTTATTTAACGCTTTCACAAGTTCCATTTTGTTTTGTTTTCTCTCTCTCTCCTTAAAGCACAAGACACAGCTGACCTAGTACTGTTAATTGATGGATCACAGAACATTGGAGCAGCAAACTTCCCCTATGTGCGTGAATTGGTTTTGAGAATCATTGAGCGCCTTGATGTGGGCAGGGACACTGTTCGGGTGGCCTTGGTCCTGTACAACAGCAGCCCAGAGATAAAGTTCTATCTAAATAGCTTTTACAGCAAATCATCACTCCTGGATGCTGTGAAAGCCCTCACCTACACAGGGGGCGATGAATCTAACCTGGGGGCTGCCTTGGAGGAAGTGGCCGAGAGCCTTTTAAGTGAAACATCTGGGGGCAGGGCTGACGAGGGTGTGCCCCAGATGTTGGTGGTTATCACTGCTGGGCCATCCACTGATGATACTGGTGCTGGTGACCGAGCTCTTAAGAGGGCCAGTGTTATCACATTCGGCGTGGCGATTGGTGACACTGCCACTGCAGATCTGGAAACAATTGCTACAGATATAAGTTTTGTCCAGTCAGCCTCTGATGTCAGAGAAGTTGCAAACATTGGTGACCAACTGCTTCCACTCATTAACGGGGTGATCCAGCGCACTATTATAGTTCAGAATGAGTTCACAGAAGGTATGTAACTTCTCAGTAAACCCTGGCGGGGCATTACGGTTGTGGAAGGGGACTTCATAATTCAATTGATATGTTATAGTGCACATGGTAGGTTAGTTTCTATATCCCTAATTTTAAGTTTATAACAGAAGTGGTAACACTTAGAAGTCTTATTACCATTTTAAAAATATTTGAAATTTGACTCCATTCCATTAACCCTCTCAAGGCAGACGTTGCCGATTTGCAACAGTTAAAAACTAACAACCTGATTACCCCACATACATATTTTATGAGGTTTTCTTTTACTCAGAAGTACCACTGCAGGACTTGGTTGTGCATTAGCAACAAAAAACTTAATTTGAGCCTGAGAGGGTTAACTTACATAAATGTTTGATGAAGATAAAGATGTCATTAGTACCAGACAGCCTAATAAGAAAAAGATATTTGTATGTAGGTCTGGTGCTTGTGTTTCCATAAAAGTTGGAATATGATGTCAATAAGAAGAAATCATTATAAAAACAGCATATCAAATGTTGAAACTGAGAACATTTTTGGAATTGATTGTATATATGTTTAGCTTGTCTTGTAGGTCAGTTTTTGTGAATTCAAGATTGGTAAATAATTTTATCTGCTCAGCAGTGGCCTTTTCTGTAATTGTTTTATTTCATAATGTTTTCAATTGAGTACAGGTCTGGACTGCAGGAAGGCCAGTTTAGCATCTAAGCTCTTTTACTACAAAGCTATGTTGCTGGAAAATATGTTCTCATTAAAAAGATTCAATGTAAGAGGCAACAATGTATGGGCAAATAGTAAGATTCTAATGTGTTTAAAACTTTTCACAAGTCTTATCAGCAGTTATTTTTCACTACAAAGGTAATCCACTGTTCCATTGTGATTTTGGCCCTCAACCTTTTTACACAAAATGTCTTTGGATTCTCAGAATATTTTAATATGTAATATTTAATGCCTGTAGATTTTGAAATCCAAATTTTATTGTTTATTATTTCTTCAATTTTGTGTTCAGAAATTGTATTCTCAAATTGTGGAAGTGTTTATCACTGAGCAGTGAATGTCTCTAACTCTCTGGGATGCTATTTTATAATCATTTGATGCAACTTCTTTTCCCAGAGTGATTCTGGAAAAAAGAAAATCAAAATGATAATGTATTTTTCAATAAACAAATTTCTCAGTTTCAGTATCTGATAGGTTGTAATCATTGTAATTAAATGCAGAATTTAAGCTTTTAGCAGATAATCGAATTCCTTTTTAAATTACATTTTACAAAGAGTTACAGCTTTTTTTTTTTTAGGTAACTAGGATGTATGTTGCTCAAAATGTGGTTTATTAGACAATATATATTTTTAACAATGGCATAAGATCATCTTAGTTAAATCAGTTAACAGAAAGAGCTTTGTGCATTTGTATTATTTATGCAGTTTAAATTGATTTTTAAAATCTGATAGTTTTAGCGTATTTAACTTATTTTCAAAGGAGCATGCACACTAGCTGTACTTTGTAAAAATATAAAAATATATGGGTTTCAGGAAATAAAATAAATCACTTTATCACTTGATCTATAGCTGTTACAACATTTCTAACATTTTGTAAATTGTAATTGATGTCTATTAGAAGGCATCTGAATTTGTCCTACTTTTTTCCATGTCAGTAATACTTTACCCTCATGCCAAATAATTTAATGCAAATACAAAATATACATTTATTAACAGAATATATTTTCAGAGTTTTGTCAGCCAAAAACTTAGTCTTATAGACCGATTATTATAGCATCTAATATTCCCTCCTAACTGTAATGTTCTTTGTTGTTTCTTTTTCCAGTTATTCAGTCAAAAACAGTTGGAAATCGAGACATCATTTTCCTTATTGACGGTACAATGGGAACAGCAAACATTAACAATGTGCGGAATTTCATCAGAGAGTTTGTGGAAAGCATGCCAATTGGTCCAGATCAAGTTCAATTGGGTATTGCACAGTTTTCTGCTTCCCCGAGAGTTGAGATGGATCTCAACACCCATGGGACCAAGGAGAAAATCATTTCTGCTTTGAGTACTATCAAACCAAGACCAGCACAGGTAGTCAACATCGGAGCAGCCTTGAACTTTGTCCGGGAAAGAATGTTGCAGCCAGAGAAGGGCAGCCGTATTCAGCAGGGTGTACCCCAGCTTGTAATGTTGTTAACCAGCAAAAGATCCAGTGACAGCGTGGAAGAACCTGCAAGTGCCCTGAGGGAACTAGGTGTATTGACCTTGGCTGCAGGCGCAAAGGCAGCTGATGAGCAGCAGCTGAAGCTGATTGCCATTAGTGACGATGCTGTGTTCTACGACAAGGATATACGACCACTGATTAGAACCAAGAAAGAGAAAATGATAAGTGCTCTTTCTACTTTAGCTGGAGGAGTACCCACCACAACAGGTAATGCTACATCTATATAGGTTGTTGAGCCCCTAAGTGCTTGAAATGAAGGCAACAGGACACCCTTTGGTTTGTGAAGAAATTTCGATCTCACCCAAGGGTCTTTTTCAGGTCAAAAACCTGTGGCGAGCCCGAGGTATTTAACCCATGGTGGGGTTATCCCCTTGGAATTGTTACTGATAGTCGTTAACCCACTCTACAATCATGTGAGCCACCGTGTCGATCAAAGAGTTGGTTCTTAATGTCACAGGGGAAAGTCCAGTCCAGTTTAAGAAATCAAAAACAAGTCTGGTTGCTTTCATTTCAAGTGGTCAGTAATGATTTGTCTTTCAGTGAAATTCAGGATAATTAGAAAGGGAAACCTAGGACTAAAATGAACTTTTGATAAATGTGATAGATAAGGAAAACTTTGAATAAATATGTGGAAAAACAACTAAAGCAAAAGTTTCCATTCAAAATTGAAAACTAGGACAATTCTGTGATTTGTGTGGAGTATAAACACAAGAGTCAGTTTCATGCCAGCTGAAAAATATAAATTGATCCTGAGTAAGTAGTTGTGTTAGTGACATTTTTAATGTTTAGTTGGCATTTTTTTCCCTACTTTGGTACTACGTCTTTGTGGTTTGAAATATTCTTCACTGTTATATTTGTAAATAATTGTTAAAAAAATACAAATTGAAGTAATAAATATTGGGCACTTTACATGTTAAATTCTTCATTTGCACAGAGAGAAATGTTGCAACAGTCAATGCGTCACTATTACTGAAAGCACATGTTCTTGGCATTACACAGAGAGTAATTAATACATTTTTTGTGCTTTTCTTCAGTGACGGAGGAAACCATAGTGGAGACTACAAAAATGGTCAGAGACATTGTCTTTCTTGTGGATGGCTCAAACTATGTTGGAAGCAGTAATTTGCCCTATGTGAGAGACTTTATGATCAATACGATCAACCAACTTGATGTAGGTCCTGACAGGGTCCAGGTTGGTCTCCTGCAGTTTGCTGACCGTCCAAAAATAGAATTTTACCTGAGCAACTACAGGACCAGGGAAGAGGTTGTAGAAAAAATCTCTCAACTCAGGCTGACCGGAGGCTCAGCTGTGAATACAGGAGCTGCCATGAATTATGCCCTGGACAACATGTTTCACTCATCAAGGGGGTCACGCAGAAGGCAAGGAGTCCAGCAGGTGTTGGTTCTGATCACAGGTGGTCCACCCCAAGATCAGGTTAAATCTGTGGCTGACAGGTTGGCTCTGGCTGGTGTTTTGACTTTCACCGTCAGTTCTGGACAAGCAGATGAGGCCCTACTCCAGAATGTTGCCTTTGTTCCAACTTTGGCTTTCCATGCAAGAAGCTTCTCTGGTTTACCAGGCCTTGCTGAACAAATCATGCCAGAGTTGGTAACAGTGGTTGGCGATACCGACGTGGCAGTATTCCAAGAGGAAACTGGTTAGTTTGGAATTTCTGTTTTCTTTGTCTAATAAAAATATGATCAACTGTATATCTGGCAAAACATAAATAAATGTGTATTGTATTTTTTTCCTTCAGTTGTTGGAGCTGAAAGAGATGTTGCTTTCCTCATTGATGGCACAGATCGAGTTCAAGCAGATTTTGCCTACATAAAGGATTTTATCATTAAAGTAATCGAACCACTTGACATTGGAGATGACAAGGTACGAGTTTCAGTGGTTCAACACAGTGAAAGGCCAACTCTAAGTTTTTACCTTAACACTTATAAAACCAAAGATGAAGTGATAAGAGCTGTCCAAGGACTCAGAGTGACTGGTGGACGTAGTTTAAACACAGGATCCGCTCTGAGATTCATGAAAGACACCATCCTGTCTGGCAGTTATGGTGGTCGTGCTGCACAAAATGTCCCTCAGTTTCTGATTGTTTTGACTGGAGGCCGATCTACGGATAATGTAAGGGAACCCGCTGGAGCACTGAAGACAGATGGAGTTGTACCGTTTGGTGTTGGTGTCAAGGACGCAGACCCAAAGCAGATTGAGGCCATCTCGCACAACCCTTCTTTTGCCTTCAACGTTAAGGAATTCAGTGAGCTCAGCACCATACCGCAAAGACTGAATAATTATGTGAGCCTACCAAGGGAAGAGTTAGAGGTCGTCCTACAGCAAGGTAAGATTATTTTTTTTCGGGTGTCCGGAACTCACAAAATCTGCAATTTTTGGTGCTTTATATCTCATCTAACTTATGTTAACCCCATTTTAATCTTAATTAGATTCTTATTGTTGTCTTAACACAAGATGATGCTGTAAAAATAAATATTGTGTTCCTAGTTGATGGCACTGATAACACTGGAAATGGATTGACAGACATTAAACACTTCATTAAAAACATAACAGAGAACCTTTATATCAGTGAGAACCAAGACAGACTGTCTGTGGTTCAGTTTGCAGATAACACTCAGGTCAGCTTTTATCTAAATTCTCACAAGACAAAGAATTACAATTTAAATGCGATAGACATTTTAAGGCACAAATGAGGGACATGCCATAATATTGGTGCAGCTCTACAGTTTGTGATGCATAGTGTCTTTACTTCCTCCATGGGTAGCAGAAGACTAAAAAGGAATCATCCAGATTTTAATTAAGTGGCAAACTGTCCACTGATAATGCAAGAAGCCCAGCTTTTCCTCTTAAAGAACATTACATTTTACATAACATTTTGGAGTGAGAGATGCCAAAATATCAGAGTTGGAAATGATTGCGCTCAAACCTAGTTTCACATATAAGGTTTCTGAATTACCCTCAGTCCAGTCACAACTTATTATTTCACTGAACAGACACAAAGACACTCAAGACAAAGCTGTCATGTCAGTGTATAAGCTAATATTATTTCATCGGGACAAGTTTTACTCCTTAGCACAGTTGCATTTTCTCATAAAACTAACATATCCCTAAACTCGAATGATTGATAAGATTTTATTTGGTGATTTTGGTAATTATTCACCCCATTATTTAAGCCATTTCTATTGTGTAAATTTCATGATTGTTCTCACTAAAAAGCCTATTCTAGCTGAAAAAGAAATAAATTTTGGTGTGTTTTTCGGTTTTATCTTTTCTTTCCAAGTGTCCATTTCACTTACTACTTTGAAGTCACTTGGAAGATCAGTCATTCAAATGTCTTATACATCTTTTTTGGTAAAAAGATGTTTTTCTTCCCACTTTTCAGAGCAATAGCTCACATCTTTACAGCTCAGTTTTTTCACTGAGCTTGACTTGCTCATGCTAATAAATATGCATGACTGTTAGAACATCTCAAATGCGTAATTCGCAAATCTTCTATCCATCCTTGTATCATCTAGTTGACACACGGAGGGACATAGTGTTTCTCCTTGATGGGTCAGATGACTCCAGAAATGGTCTCCCAGCTATTCGAGAGTTCGTCAGAAGAATGGTTGAAGAGTTGGACGTTGGCGAAGATAAGGTTCGAGTGGGCGTTATACTGTATAGTGATGATGCCTCAATTTACTTCAACCTAATAACTCACAGATCCAAAAAAGCTATTATCTATGCTGTAAGAAGTCTTCGACATAAAGGAGGGAAATCTCGCAATACTGGAGCTGCTTTACAGTTTGTGCAAGACCATGTTTTCACAACTTCATCTGGGAGTAGACACCTGGAGGGAGTTCCTCAGATTCTTTTTTTGCTCACTGGGGGAAAATCCAAAGATGATGTTTCCAGAGCTGCATTTGGACTAAAGCAAATCGGTGTTATGTCTTTTGCAATTGGAATGAAAAATGCTGGACAAGAGGAACTTCAAAAAATTGCCTTCTCCTCCAGATATGTTTTCAACTTGCCTTTCTTTGCTGAAATTTTGTCCATTCAGCCAGATTTAGTAGCATTTGTCCAGACAGAAATATCAGCTAAGCCTGCTACTGTTGTAGGTAAGAAACAAATGTAATATATAATTTAAATTTAAACTGACTCGCTGTTTCTGTTCTTGCTCATTTGGTCTTTCTTAATTTCAAATGTGATGAAACTGAATTATTTTCTGAAGAATGTCATTGATTCAGTTTCACATTTGTTAAATTCTCTTCACTGGCCAGACACATCTTACGTGTTACTTGCTTCTTGGTTGGCTGCCATCCTTTTTTTTTCTTGTACTCCAGAGAGCTTTTCTTTCTTTTCTTAAGCTCTCCCTTGAGCCAGTGATAATCACATCATTGACTGAAAATATGTTCTTTTGAACAAAAGAACTTGTTTGGCTTTAATCTATCTTTCATGCGTGAAAGATGAATATGCTACTTAGCTTGTAATTTCTCAATATCTTTCTTTGTTAGCCAGTTTTCCTACAAATTGTTGCATCTAACACATCGTTTAAAACAATAATTCTTTGAATTTCATTACCAGTTTTAGTATATTTGCCAACAACATAATGGCTAATTATTGCACTACAGTACATTTTGGCTTATGTTTATGTTTGACTGCTAAACGAGGTTTTCATATTCTTTCTCTGAATTAGAATCTCCTCAAAGAGACATAGTATTCCTTTTGGATGGATCGGATAATACACAAAGTGAGTTCCCAGCAATAAGGAGTTTTGTGGAACAAATGGTAGAAACACTCACAGTTGATGAGAACAGAGATCGTATTTCTGTGGTTCAGTATAGCGGAGATCCACAGACACATTTCAATTTGAACACCTACATGGCAAAACAAGATGTTCTCGGTGCAATCCAACGTTTGAACCACAAAGGAGGCATATCCCTCAACACTGGGGTAGCTCTTGACTATGTAAGAAAAAATGCTTTTGCCGAGTCCTCGGGTAGTCGGCATCAACAAGGTGTCCCTCAGATATTGATTCTGCTGAGCGATGGAAGATCTCAAGATGATGTTGCAAGTGCTGCTGCTGCTCTAAAACAGGAAAAAATTGTTCCAGTCTGTGTGGGTACCAGTAATGCAAACATACTTGAGCTCCAAATGATTGCACATGACCCTTCCTATGCCTTCTCCATAACTCAATTTGATGATATTGAGAGAATGAATGATCAACTTGTGTCACTTCTAAAAAGGGTTCCTCGGCAGCAGCCAAGACAAAAATCACAAAGTCCTTTAGGTAAGGCTTTTTATTGATGTTTTCATGGTCTATCTGTCTTATAATGCTTAACTCTAACTTAGCATCATCATTTCTGTCAAGATCCTGCAGGTCAAAATGAACCCATTCAACGTGATATTGTGTTTTTACTGGATTCCTCTGATAAAATGCAGAAAACCTTCAATGCTGTTCTTGGCTTTGTTGGAAGAATCATGGAGACACTCAGTGTGGACAAAAACAAAGATCGTGTTTCAGTAGTGCAGTACAGCAGAGAACCTTCTGTTGATTTTCTCCTAAATACATACAACACAAAGCAAGATGTTGCTGACAGTTTGCGAAGGTTGAGGCATAAAGGAGGTGAACCCCTCAATACTGGTGCAGCCCTGCAGTATGTCAAGGATAATGTTTTAACAGCTTCCTCTGGAAGTAGGCACCAGCAAGGTGTCCCCCAGATTTTGATTCTTTTAATTGGTGGACGTTCCAGTGATGATGTCAGAAATGCTGCTGAAAACTTGAATGAAATGGGTGTAACAACTTTTGTGGTTGGAATAGATCATGCAGACACCCTTGAGATTCAGTCTATTGCACAAAAATCAGACCGTGCTTTCCATGCAGCAGATATCAATAATCTATCAGATATTGAACAACTAATCATTTCTACCATGAAGGAGATTAAAAACCCTGCCATCAAACCACCATCGCACGGTAAGGTTGTAATGGTTAGCTCTTACACTGGGCGCGCGACTTAATGGATTGTCAGATTGTTGCAGACATGAAATCCCTTATTTTCGGTGAACGATAGATGATGAACTCCTTCACACTCAAATCTTTTGCTTGACAGAATCCTTTGCTTGATTAGTTGTAATTGAAGCACAAGCTGTGTATGCAGGATAAATGCATATTTACAAGAACAATTTTATTTTTCAATGTCATCATCAACCAGTTTGTTCAAATTCCTCTTGATTACAGATCCCAACGGAAGAGACATTGTTTTTTTGCTTGATGGTTCTGATGATTCTCAGCAAAAATTCCCAGATATTATTGACTTTGTAAAGAGGATAACAAAGCATCTAAACGTCGATATAAACAAAGATCGCATGGCTGTGGTCCAGTACAGTGACACTGCAGAGATTAATTTTAACTTGAGTCGTTATTCAACAAAGAATGATATTCTTAAAGCAGTAAATGGTCTGAGACACAAAGGGGGTTATCCTCACAACATTGGAGCTGCTCTCCAGTACTTGAAGGAACATGTATATACCCCTATGTCTGGTAGTAGACGTCAGGAGGGAATTCCACAGATACTCATACTACTGATTGGTGGACGATCTGCAGATGACATAAGAACCCCAGCCAGAATGATGAAGCAAATTGGTGCCATTTCAGTTGTAATTGGGACATCTGATGCTGACACTCTAGAGCTACAGACAATAGCTCATGAACCCAAGTACGCGCTCCCAGTTGCTGAATATGGACAACTTCCTAGTGTTCAGGAAGATGTGTTGGCATTGATAAGAGAGGCTTTGCACCATGTAGAACAAATTGCTCCCACAGCAGGTCTCGGTAAGAATCAATGTTTTCATTATCTAGTAAAGAAGAGAGTTTGGAGGATTTTCAGAAACCGTCATTGTCACATTCTGTTTACATTTTTTTTTTTTTTGCAGATTCTAAGAAAAATGATGTAGTGTTTCTCATTGATGGATCATATGACTCACTGAATGGTTTTGAAGAAATACGAAGCTTTATTGAAAAAACTGTGGAAAGTTTAAATTTGGGCAATGATAGAGACCAAGTGGCTGTTGTTCAGTACAGTCGTGATGCCACTGTTAATTTTTACTTGAATTCTTATTCTTCCAAGAATGATGTGCTCAATTCCATAAGAACAATGAGACATAAATTTGGAAGACCACTGAACATTGGAAAAGCACTGGAGTTTGTCAGAGACAACGTCTTTTCTGCTTCAGTTGGAGGCAGACGTGCAGACTTGGTCCCTCAGTATCTGTATGTTTTTAGTGGTGGAAGATCTGGAGATGATGTCAGAGGACCAGCACAATCACTCAAAGACAATGGCATCAAAACCTTTAGTATTGGAACGGAGAATGCTGATACTTTGGAAATGCAAACTATCTCCTATACACCAGCACATTATTTTTATGTCACAAACTATAATAATCTACAAAGCTTAGATCCATCAGTGGAAGCCATGTTGAGGGGCACTAAAGAAACAACTGAATTTTCAACTATTGGTAAGAGTAACAACAATTTATAATAGCTTCCTTCTGGACATGATTGCATATCATGATTATCGTTTAGGTTATATGTAAGAGGTAAATGTTGTAAAATATTTCATAACCCATTTCAGATACATCTGTGACAGCAGAAACAGGATTCCAGAGTGCTGATATTGTTTTTCTTCTTGATGGATCTGATGATATGCAACCAAGTGAACAACAAGCTTTGGAATTTGTCAGAGAGTTTGTCAAGCAAATAGAAATTGGGCCAAGAAAAGCACAAGTTGCTTTAATCCAGTACAGCACAGAGCCCACAACTGAGTTTCTTCTAAACAAATACTTAATGAAAGATGATATCATTAATCATTTGGACAACATGAAACTGAAAGGAGGGTCCACTGTGAACATTGGTGTAGCCCTTGATTATGTGAAAAATAATGTCTTCACTGCTTCATCTGGAAGCAGAGCACTGCATGCAGTCCCACAGATACTGATACTCTTCAGTGGAAGAAATTCAAATGATGAAATCTTAGGTCCATTAGAAAGGCTCCGAAATGTGGGAATTGTTCTTTTTGGCATTGGTGTGAATAATGCTGATAGGTTTGAGATGGAACAATTAGCTCCTACAGCAATGTATTTTATAAAGAATACTTCTGACTTTCCTCATGTGAGAGAGCAGTTGCTGTCTGTCATATCCTCTCTCAAAAGTACTATCACACCTCATGTGGGTAAGTGAAAATAACATTTGATGATATGAAGTTTGATTAAACAAATATCTCATTTAATATTATTTAAATACAAACCTTGTAAACCTCATGCTGAAGTGTCTTCAACAGTAATTTGATGACTGTTGAATTGGTTAGAAACAACATTTAGACATTTACATGATTTTGAATTTTTTTAGGTTCAAGCTCCAGCATAAAACGAAATATTGTATTTCTCATTGATGGATCTGATGATGTCAGGATGAGTTTCAGTGCCATACGTGAATTTGTTGCCAAAATGGTTGCGAGCTTTGACCTGGACCAAAGAAAAGATAAAGTTGCAGTTGTGCAGTATAGCAACAATGCTGAACTTAACTTTAATCTGGATACTTACAAAACAAAAGCTGATGTCCTAAAGCACATTACAAGTCTTAAACCCAAAGGTGGAAGGCCACAGTATATTGGGGCAGGACTGCAATTTGTGAAGGATAATGTCTTTGTTCTAAATGCTGGAAGTCGACAAGATGAAGGAGTCAAACAAATACTTATTGTATTGGCTGGTGGAAGATCAAGAGATTCTCCAAGAGGACCAGCAAGTATGCTTAAAACAGCAGGTGTCACTACATTTGCAATTGGATCAAGAATGTCCAATTCAGCTGAGATGGAAATGATTTCATCAAACCCAAATTTCAAATACTCAGTCCCAGACTTTGTAAATCTGCCTCGAATTCAGGAAAGTTTGAAGAGTCACTTTACTAAAATGGCAGTTGAAGGGGAAACAATGGGAGGTAAGAATTTAAATGAGTTGTCAAATTTAATACGTTAATTTTAATATGTAGATTTTATTCAAGTGAATTAGAGGTGAGTAAAAATTAATCAGCAACTGTATTTCTAATTAAAGAAGAAAAAAAGAAAACAATGAGTGTGAGTTGAATAAATGGCTTTATGTTGAAGAACATTTGACAGGCCAAGATAAACATGTTGAAAACTTTATATCCCTTAGTGGTCAGACAGCCAGCAGGAAGGGATGTGGTGTTTTTGCTGGATGGATCTGATGCTACTAGAAGTGGATTCCCAGCTATGAGAGACTTTGTCCAAAAACAAGTAGACACACTCAGTGTGGATGATGGCAAAGACCGTGTGTCGGTTGTTCAGTACAGCAGCGATCCAGCCGTCCAGTTCTATCTGAACACGTACACCACAAAAAGAGAGGTCCTTGACAGTGTCAGAGGTTTGAGGCACAAAGGCGGACGACCCCTCAACACTGGAGCAGCTCTCCGGTACTTGAGGGATAACGTCTTCACGGCCTCTGCCGGAAGCAGGCGGCCATCAGGAGTTCCGCAGGTCCTAATATTGATCACTGGTGGAAGATCATTTGACAGTATTGATGAACCAGCCTCTGCTCTCAAACAGCTGGGTGTCTTGACCATTGCAATTGGAACCCGAGGCTCTGACCCCAGAGAACTTCAGACCATAACTGGCGAGCCCAGTCATGCTGTATCTGTGTCTGAGTTCACTGACCTTCCCAATGTTCAAGAACAGCTCTCTTCTGTAATGAGCACAGTGCCAATGAGGGTCACACCTTTGACCCCAACAGTAACTGGTAAGAACATGACCCATCTTCAAAGTCCAGTATCATTGTAGGAAACAGTGTGAAAAGAAATCATTTGGTTTTGCTGTGTTTAATCAGCCAGTGGATTGTTTTTCCTTTTTTTTTTGTTCTGTTTTCGTTTTTGTTTTTCGTTTTTTTTATAAAATAGTTGTGGTTGTAAAGAAAGAGTTCACTTTTACCATGGTGCTTTTTAGCTGCAAAATATTTGATTGACCAAGTTAAACATATGGTAAATCTCATGTCTCTTAGTGGTCAGACAGCCAGCAGGAAGGGATGTGGTGTTTTTGCTGGATGGATCTGATGCTACTAGAAGTGGATTCCCAGCTATGAGAGACTTTGTCCAAAAACAAGTAGACACACTCAGTGTGGATGATGGCAAAGACCGTGTGTCGGTTGTTCAGTACAGCAGCGATCCAGCCGTCCAGTTCTATCTGAACACGTACACCACAAAAAGAGAGGTCCTTGACAGTGTCAGAGGTTTGAGGCACAAAGGCGGACGACCCCTCAACACTGGAGCAGCTCTCCGGTACTTGAGGGATAACGTCTTCACGGCCTCTGCCGGAAGCAGGCGGCCATCAGGAGTTCCGCAGGTCCTAATATTGATCACTGGTGGAAGATCATTTGACAGTATTGATGAACCAGCCTCTGCTCTCAAACAGCTGGGTGTCTTGACCATTGCAATTGGAACCCGAGGCTCTGACCCCAGAGAACTTCAGACCATAACTGGCGAGCCCAGTTATGCTCTATCTGTGTCTGAACTTACTGACCTACCCAAAGTGCAACAGCAACTTGAGTCCTCTGTGGAAGCTGCAGTTTTTGAAGTCACCCCAGAATTACCAACCGTAATTGGTACGTTGTCAGACACATCCTGTTGCTTGCTCCAAAAGTTATTAATTTTAGCTACAGTGAGGAAAAGCAAATAAATGAATGTGATGTGTGTATAGGTTTTTTGTGCATTTCAAACCAGTTGGTAGCATGCTGTGGTCTTTCTAAAACAGAAGTAGGCCAGGCTAGTGTTGTTAAAATATTAGTGTGCCAGTGAAAGATAATCTCACAAGCTTTGTGAAAGGTTTTCATTTTTTTGTCCTACTGTCTTTTCTCAGCTTCACGTGACAGAAAAGATATTGTATTCCTTCTGGATGGTTCTGATGGCACAAGGAATGGCTTTCCTGCCATGCGTGATTTTGTAGAGAGAGTGGTGGAGAAAATCAATGTGGGAGAAAACAAAGACCATGTCTCTGTGGTCCAGTACAGCAGAGAACCAGAGGTCCATTTCTATCTGAACACATATACCACAAGGGAGGATGTGGTGGACTCGGTCAGAGGGCTTAGACACAGAGGAGGAAGACCCCTAAACACTGGGGCAGCTCTCCAATACGTCAGAGACAACGTCTTTACAAACTCCTCTGGAAGTAGACGCCTGCAGGGTGTCCCACAGATATTGATCTTACTAACTGGGGGAAGGTCTTTTGACAATGTAGATAGCCCAGCCTCAGCTCTCAAACAGCAGGGCATTTATGTGATTGGCATTGGAACTAGGACCTCAGATGCTAGAGAGCTGCAGAAAATATCGTATGAGCCCAGTTATGCTCTGTCAGTGTCCGAGTTCACTGACCTTCCCAGTGTCCAAGAACAGCTCTCTTCTGTAATGAGCAAAGTGATAGTGAGGGCCACACCCATGACACCAACAGTGACCGGTAAGAACGTGACTCCTTTGTAATCTCCAGTATCATGGTAGGAAACAGTGTGAAAAGAAACCAAATGTGATTTGCTGTGTTCAGTTAGCTAGTGGATTGTCTTTTTTTTTTTTTAAATAGTTGTGCTTGCGAAGAAAGAGTTCAATTTCAAGATGTTTCTCTTTAGCTGCAAAATATTTGATTGACCAAGTTAAACATATGGTAAATCTCATGTCTCTTAGTGGTCAGACAGCCAGCAGGAAGGGATGTGGTGTTTTTGCTGGATGGATCTGATGCTACTAGAAGTGGATTCCCAGCTATGAGAGACTTTGTCCAAAAACAAGTAGACACACTCAGTGTGGATGATGGCAAAGACCGTGTGTCGGTTGTTCAGTACAGCAGCGATCCAGCCGTCCAGTTCTATCTGAACACGTACACCACAAAAAGAGAGGTCCTTGACAGTGTCAGAGGTTTGAGGCACAAAGGCGGACGACCCCTCAACACTGGAGCAGCTCTCCGGTACTTGAGGGATAACGTCTTCACGGCCTCTGCCGGAAGCAGGCGGCCATCAGGAGTTCCGCAGGTCCTAATATTGATCACTGGTGGAAGATCATTTGACAGTATTGATGAACCAGCCTCTGCTCTCAAACAGCTGGGTGTCTTGACCATTGCAATTGGAACCCGAGGCTCTGACCCCAGAGAACTTCAGACCATAACTGGCGAGCCCAGTCATGCTGTATCTGTGTCTGAGTTCACTGACCTTCCCAATGTTCAAGAACAGCTCTCTTCTGTAATGAGCACAGTGCCAATGAGGGTCACACCTTTGACCCCAACAGTAACTGGTAAGAACATGACCCATCTTCAAAGTCCAGTATCATTGTAGGAAACAGTGTGAAAAGAAATCATTTGGTTTTGCTGTGTTTAATCAGCCAGTGGATTGTTTTTCCTTTTTTTTTGTTCTGTTTTCGTTTTTGTTTTTGTTTTTTTATAAAATAGTTGTGGTTGTAAAGAAAGAGTTCACTTTTACCATGGTGCTTTTTAGCTGCAAAATATTTGATTGACCAAGTTAAACATATGGTAAATCTCATGTCTCTTAGTGGTCAGACAGCCAGCAGGAAGGGATGTGGTGTTTTTGCTGGATGGATCTGATGCTACTAGAAGTGGATTCCCAGCTATGAGAGACTTTGTCCAAAAACAAGTAGACACACTCAGTGTGGATGATGGCAAAGACCGTGTGTCGGTTGTTCAGTACAGCAGCGATCCAGCCGTCCAGTTCTATCTGAACACGTACACCACAAAAAGAGAGGTCCTTGACAGTGTCAGAGGTTTGAGGCACAAAGGCGGACGACCCCTCAACACTGGAGCAGCTCTCCGGTACTTGAGGGATAACGTCTTCACGGCCTCTGCCGGAAGCAGGCGGCCATCAGGAGTTCCGCAGGTCCTAATATTGATCACTGGTGGAAGATCATTTGACAGTATTGATGAACCAGCCTCTGCTCTCAAACAGCTGGGTGTCTTGACCATTGCAATTGGAACCCGAGGCTCTGACCCCAGAGAACTTCAGACCATAACTGGCGAGCCCAGTCATGCTGTATCTGTGTCTGAGTTCACTGACCTTCCCAATGTTCAAGAACAGCTCTCTTCTGTAATGAGCACAGTGCCAATGAGGGTCACACCTTTGACCCCAACAGTAACTGGTAAGAACATGACCCATCTTCAAAGTCCAGTATCATTGTAGGAAACAGTGTGAAAAGAAATCATTTGGTTTTGCTGTGTTTAATCAGCCAGTGGATTGTTTTTCCTTTTTTTTTGTTCTGTTTTCGTTTTTGTTTTTTTTATAAAATAGTTGTGGTTGTAAAGAAAGAGTTCACTTTTACCATGGTGCTTTTTAGCTGCAAAATATTTGATTGACCAAGTTAAACATATGGTAAATCTCATGTCTCTTAGTGGTCAGACAGCCAGCAGGAAGGGATGTGGTGTTTTTGCTGGATGGATCTGATGCTACTAGAAGTGGATTCCCAGCTATGAGAGACTTTGTCCAAAAACAAGTAGACACACTCAGTGTGGATGATGGCAAAGACCGTGTGTCGGTTGTTCAGTACAGCAGCGATCCAGCCGTCCAGTTCTATCTGAACACGTACACCACAAAAAGAGAGGTCCTTGACAGTGTCAGAGGTTTGAGGCACAAAGGCGGACGACCCCTCAACACTGGAGCAGCTCTCCGGTACTTGAGGGATAACGTCTTCACGGCCTCTGCCGGAAGCAGGCGGCCATCAGGAGTTCCGCAGGTCCTAATATTGATCACTGGTGGAAGATCATTTGACAGTATTGATGAACCAGCCTCTGCTCTCAAACAGCTGGGTGTCTTGACCATTGCAATTGGAACCCGAGGCTCTGACCCCAGAGAACTTCAGACCATAACTGGCGAGCCCAGTTATGCTCTATCTGTGTCTGAACTTACTGACCTACCCAAAGTGCAACAGCAACTTGAGTCCTCTGTGGAAGCTGCAGTTTTTGAAGTCACCCCAGAATTACCAACCGTAATTGGTACGTTGTCAGACACATCCTGTTGCTTGCTCCAAAAGTTATTAATTTTAGCTACAGTGAGGAAAAGCAAATAAATGAATGTGATGTGTGTATAGGTTTTTTGTGCATTTCAAACCAGTTGGTAGCATGCTGTGGTCTTTCTAAAACAGAAGTAGGCCAGGCTAGTGTTGTTAAAATATTAGTGTGCCAGTGAAAGATAATCTCACAAGCT